GAATAGAAAATATGGAATAGAATAGAATAGAATAGAATAGAATAGAATAGAATAGAAATAGAATAGAATAGAATAGAATAGAATAGAATAGAATATAGGGAATAGAATAGAATAGAATAGAATAGAATAGAATATATGGAATTGAAAATAGAATAGAATGGAATGGAATGGAATGGAATAGAATAGAATAGAATGGAAAATAGGGAATAGAATAGAATAGAATAGAAAATAGGGAATAGAATAGAATAGAATAGAAAATATGGAATGGAATTAGAATAGAATAGAATAGAAAATATGGAATAGAATAGAATAGAATAGAATAGAATAGAATAGAATAGAATAGAATAGAATAGAATAGAATAGAATAGAAAGACCTTAGAGGTCTTCTAGTCCAGCCCCCTGCTCAAGCAGGAGAACCTATACCATCTCAGATAGGTGATTGTCTAGTCTCTTTTTAAAAATCTCCAGTGATGGAGCACCCCACGATTTCTGGAGGCAAAGCTGTTCCACTGGTTAATTGTCCTCACTGTTAGGAAGTTTCTCCTTAACTCCAGAATGTGGAGCAAAATCTACAACAAACTCTTTGCCTGAATCCACACGCTGCTCTGTTCATCCTGTCCCTCAGTAAATCCATCGGCAAAGCAGTGGAAGAGAATATAGGATGTAGCTCAGGGTTAAACTGGGGGGGTCCTTGGGGTTCTCTGAGTTTGGTTTGTGAAATTTAAATTTCCCGACAGAGAATTAAAGGGAGACGAGTCTAGCTATTTCTGAGTTTGGTTGTTTTCCTGCAGACATTTCATGACCCGACTAGGTAACATCATCAGTGCTAAGTGAGTGTGGGGTTGGCTCCCTGCTTAGATATGCAATAGCTTGCCCCTCCCGTGTGGGCGGGGATGTGTGCTTTTCTCCTTGGTAATTCCTTGATTAGGGTATTGTTTTCTGCTTGATTATTTGTCTGGTGTTAATCCCTGCTTATCTGCTGTTGATTGCTGGAGGGGATATATTCTGGTCTCTTCGTTTCCTCCTTCTTAGCTTTCTTTCATTGTT